AACAGACACCGAGGGCATTCTAGCCAAGAAGGAATATTTGAAAGTTGGTAAAACAGACACCGAGGGCATTCTAGCCAAGAAGGACTATTTGAAAGATTGTGAAACAGACACCGAGGGCATTCTTGCCAAGAGGGAATATTTGAAAGTTGGTAAAACAGACACCGGGGGCATTCTAGCCAAGAGGGAATATTTGAAAGTTGGTAAAACAGACACCGAGGGCATTCTAGCCAAGAGGGAATATTTGAAAGATGGTAAAACAGACACCGAGGGCATTCTAGCCAAGGGGGAATATTTGAAAGATGGTAAAACAGACACCGAGGGCATTCTAGTCAAGTGGGACTATTTGAAAGATGGTAAAACAGACACCGAGGGCATTCTAGCCAAGAGAGACTATTTGAAAGATTGTGAAACAGACACCGAGGGCATTCTAGCCAAAAAAAGGGGGGGGGGGATATTTGAAAGATGGTAAAACAGACACCGAGGGCACTCTAGCCAAGAGGGAATATTTGAAAGATGGTAAAACAGACACCGAGAGCATTCTAGCCAAGGGGGAATATTTGAAAGATGGTAAAACAGACACCGAGGGCATTCTAGTCAAGTGGGACTATTTGAAAGATGGTAAAACAGACACCGAGGGCATTCTAGCCAAGGGGGAATATTTGAAAGATGGCGAAACACACATCGAGGGTATTCTAATTAAGATGGAATATTTGAAAGATGGCGAAACAGATATCGAGGGTATTCTAGTCAGGGTCGAATACTTAAACAAATGCTAAAATATATACATTAGCCAAAATGAATATTTGATAAATGTAGCAGGTTAAATTCATACATTAAAGAAGAATTATAACCATGCTATCAGCTATAAACAGGCACTAAAATGAGAAATAGAGAAAACTGAAAAAAAGGAACCTTAAGGCGAACGTTGGCGAGAGAAACCAAAGGTGCTGGACAGTTTTCCGTCCATGATATGGAAGTAATTGCCCAGGATAGAGCGGAACGGAAAAATAGACTGCTGGCCCTGACATATAATAACAAAACAGGACAATGAATGAAAAATTAGCTATAAAATTAGGAGCGTATCAATTCACTGAGAAGAAAAGTTTTTACTTTGACGTTAGTCTCACCAAACAAAGTAGGTCAGTTTTCATTGACAACTTTGTTGGGCTGGTCCACTTTCGTAGAAGTTACTGGTGTGTCCCACTCTCTTGTTTGATTTCCGTGATGTCTTGCATTAACATTTTCATTCCAAGAAAGAGAATGCCTGTGACATAGGTTTCAGCACTCTCTAGGGGAGTTGTGTTAGAACCCAGTGTGTAAATTTTTTTGGAGTGTTAAAAGCGCTGCCATGTTGGAATATAGAACACGTGATGTCAACTTTGTGGCAAGTAGCGTGGCTTAAGGTCGACCAATCAGATGTGAGCTAGGCTGAAGGTCGACCAATCAGAAGTGAGCTAGTATATAGGAGTGGGTAAATAGGGGAGACAAATGTTGAATTAACCAGAAAAGTTGGTAGGGAGGAGTATTTCCGCCGTGCTCCGCTAAAGACCTTTTTGTTAATGATGATCTGCTACAATCAGAATGAATTGTTTAGCACAGCAGCTCTCAAACGGTTACCCGTGCTCATAGGGTTCCACGTGCAATTCATCTGAGTTCAAATGCTGATTCCGAAACAATATGGCCCAGTTTTGACAATGTCATGTGCATTGGCCAACAGATCAAATGGTTTGGCGGTGAAACGAGAGTAACATCGGACAGGGCATCAGAAAGAGCATTGTTATACAGATTCAATGGTAAAAGATCCAGATGTCGACAACGCTGAATATGGACCGCAGAAATGTCAGAGACGCTGAAAAGTTTTATATTCGAAAAAACATAAGGGTCAATTCCAGAGATTTCTTCCTCCCCTAACGCTGTGAAGTATCCCAGGAGTAGAGAAAAGAAGAAGAAGAAGAAGAAGAAGAAGAAGAAGAAGAAGAAGAAGAAGAAGAAGAAGAAGAAGAAGAAGAAGAAGAAGAAGAAGAAGAAGAAGAAGAAGAAGAAGAAGAAGTGTATTGATTGTGGTTAAGAATAAAACGACTCATCATCAATCAACAAGTCCTTTACAGAACGTCGTTCTCTTCACGGCACGCCTGAAAGTATCCCTCTCCCTAGCCAGCTCTCCGGCACCATATGCTTTCAATGCCAATGTATCTTCAATGTATCCATCTTCGCGGTGGTCGACCCCTGATTCACCTTCTACAAACTGCACCTTCCATCACTGTCTTTTCTAAGCCACCATGACGCTTGATGTGGCCAAAATACTTCAACTTTCAGGACAGGATGCTGTTTATGAGCCAGTTCTTCTAGGTGTTCAACTCGTTCAGAATGTCGATGTATTTCCTCTTCCTGATCTATGGTATTCTAAGAATTTTTCTAAAACATTTCAAATCAAAAGCTTCAATCTTTTTCCTCAGTGACTGCGTGAGAGTTCAAGACTCACAACCGTGAGTTGCCACAGGAAAAATGCATGATCTCAAAATTTTTTTTACTTTACCCAATTTACTAAATAGAACAACTATTATAGTAAATTAAAAAAAAAAAAAAAAAATTATATTTCATTACACGTACATTACGCACTTGTTCAGATATCTAACTATTTACAATCTATCCCATCTTTCGATGCTCCTTAACACTACTTCTAAACATCATTATCTTGTAAGACATACAGTACGGTAGTCCAAAGCAGTACTAGAGCTGGCCGTGGGTAGTCCTAATGGCCTCCGAAGTAAAAATATATTCCAAAAAGTGCCTGCAAGTCAGAATACTTGTAGTTGGGATCCACTGAGTTAAAACGCTGAAGTGAAAGCAGTTACAACGATATATTCTATGAAATTCTAGTGTCTTTAAGGTTTGAGGTTTGAAGTTTGAACAAAGGATCAACATCATGTCCCACAGGTTATAACCCAAAGTGCTCTGTTTGTCTTCTAACTCAAGTCTGAGTCCGAAGAATCTCAGCGCAATTCACGAACTCCGTAGCACCGGCGAGGGTGCTGAAATACATTGGATAGATTTTCAACTCAACATTTTGCGTGGGCAGCGCCGTTAAGCTATTTTTTTAAAATTTCCAACTGGCAAGGTATATTTTATGTATGCAACAATACACATGGGCGTCCGATCTTACTACTCAGAGACCAGGGGAAATTACTAAAGTCCACGCGTAAAAATCCAAGCCTTCACAGGGGCTTGAACTCGGGACCTCCAGCACTCGAGATGAATGCCATGCCTCGAGACCACGCAGCCCTTTTAAGAACTGTGTCATGTTAGGATCATGTTATTTTGTCCAAATAAATACTGAATGAATGAATCAAGAACTGATATCCTCGCACTCGAGACATTCCCACACATGCCCAGTCTACTGCTTTAGTAGCCAATGAAGAGTTCACACGCTGACGGTGCCAACTGCAGCCTCATTAAAATTGTACATTCCACTGCGGGTTGAAGATTATCCATACCCTCCACTCGTCCCTAGCTGAATTAGTCTCTCCAGATGTAGATGCTCTGTCCATTCTGTTACACTGTTTGCTTGACCCCAGAGAGTCCTCACCACGTCCGCTTTATCATCAAGTAGTTCAGACCGCTTGCTCATTACCACGCACACATGAATTTCCTGGACAGAAAATCTAGACATGCTTCTGATCTGAGTGGTACCAAGCATTGAAATCCACACTAGAGCACAAAACACCAGTTTCTAGCTTGTTCTGCGAGTCCCTTCAATAAAATGTCAGGCTATAAAACTCTCCAGACATCGAAAAGCTGCAGTTACTGCTTCCACCTCCATTTGCAAGCAAGTTGCTGTGGGGCTAAACGCGAGGCTTTCTTTGTCGAAAAGCTGGAATTAATTGTATATTGTTTGGTGTATATAAGTATTACCGCTGAGAAACGCCAGCTCACCCTGATTGAGCTGACCGTGCCATATGAGTCGCGAATGGACGAAAATCACATGTACAATCACTAGAAGTACTGTGAGCTCGCGGCCGGTCTGGGGAGAGACGACGTGTACTCAGTAAAAATCTTCGCCGACGAGGTGGGGGTAAGAGGTCTTGTCTCCACTTCTATGTACAATGATCTAAAGCAGCTGGGCTTGCGAGAAAACAAACGTAAACGGTCACTAAAACAACTGGGCGAAGCTGCTGAAAGAGCTTCGAGCTGGCTCTGGAGGCAACGGAACGTCGTGGGGAATGGGCCTCGGTAGACTGGTCCGAGTCCTGGAGGAACGGAGCTTTTTATCCCTTAAAAGCCAAGATTTCGGACTGATGTCTGCCATTTGCAAAAGTCTTACAAGTGTCCGATGAACCAAGCGTAAGCTTGTCACTTGGTTGTTAAGGTAGCCGGTTGGTCTAATTGGCTACCGCAGCGACAATACATATATTTAACTTCAAATCTCACAGTACCCGTTGCATAGTCACTATTTCGTCTTGTCCCTGTCCGAAAACATCCGGTAAAGCTCAGCAGGAGAAAATCCAGGCCTGGGAGTCATGACCCAGGTCGGCCCACCCTTTGAAATTGTATAAGAGTTGATTGACCGAAACAGTTGTCGAAGAGGCATCTTCTCCTGACGATCGGCGGACTCCTGCTGTATATGCTCCCCTGTGTTCTTCTTTTTAAACTGCCGATTTGTTGGAGTCAAATATATTCAACAAAATACTTTTGTTTTTATACCAAGATGCAAATATGGGCCTTTTCTGAGAAGTAATGTCCCGTCTGTTTATGTTAGATGTGATTTGTTTGTCTGATCTAATTTCGGTGACATGCCTTTTTCAACATTGCTATCCTTCTGTGTGGCTTGTGACGAAAGTTACGTTGATGAATGTTCGTGTCTGTCAGTTTTGTTTTTTCTTCTGTTGTGTTTCAGCTATACTGTCACCATCAGCAATATTACCGGAAAGCGGAAGCTGAAGAGATATTCAATTGCTAGAATTGTGAGTCTTGCATTTTCTTGAACACTCCTGTTCAAGTTCTTATAAATGTTTATTTGAAGAATTTGCTGAGGGTTTCCTGTGTCCATTTATCACTTTAAATGTTGACTCACTTGCTACTTCCATGCTGGAACTACTTTGACCGCTGAGATCTAGCCCCGAATCTGTAACGGAGGTGGCGGATAAATCTTGGCATTTGTATGCAACTTTTACTGTGGTATTATGAAGGTTGATTTCTGGGTAGGACATAGAACGAATACGTTGGACAGCTTCTAAAACCGATCGAGCTGATACAGGCTGTGATGAGGAGTAAGGGTCGATTTCACAGCTGGAATCATAATCGCTCGTATCACCGTAGAGTTCATCGTCGTGCTTGTATTTCGGATAGCATATATCCAATGTTCTGAGTTTCAAATGATGCACATCGGTTGTACATGTTATATTGTTTATCTCTCCCGATCTGTAACTTGTCTTTGAGTCCTCAATGCAAATACCTTTTGATGTTGCAAACAGAACTGGTACATTAAAGGTCGACGAATTTGATGGTTGGGGACATTCTTTGTCTCTGACTGTTATCTGTGAAGGCGTTTCATTTTCTGTTTTCTTACGGCAACTGTCTCTCGCAGCTATATTACCACCTCCTAAACTATCTGTATCAACGACAGAATTGTGTCGTCGACAAAATATGTGTTCTTTTGTGCTCTGCCATATTTCTTTCTTGAAGAAAAAAGTCACATATGGGAATATAGCTGAGTATAAAAATCTCATCCAGACGAAGGTTATACTAACTTCCCATGACCTGCCGGTAGCTACCAGGGGCTGGATGTATTCGTACTGCATCACGTATGAGGTAACAATGAAAGGAATCTCCAGTACAAGCCACAGTATCACAAGGGACACTGTATACGAGCAAGAATTGACCAAGGGAGCTGCTTGCGATGTTTCTGTTGACATTTGCATATAGTTCTTTTCTGCGATCTCATTTGATGTCTTATCCTTGAGTCTGCACGTCAAGTTACAATTACAAACGTTAAAGATAATTACTGCTATTAACGGTGCGACAAAACAAACAATCAGCGTTACAAACAAGAAGGCATCTGACGCTCCACTTCCAATCGTGCAGAGGTGGAGCTGAGGTCGATAGACCGAGTGAACACCGTCAGTTAGTATGGGGATACTGAAGACGAGAGAATGCAGCCACAAATATACAATAACTGATCCGATCCGACGAAAAGATAGACAGGCTTTGCTTTTGTAAGAGAATCGAAGTGAAAAATATCTGTCTGCACACAGCGCTGTTAACATTAGCATTGTCATAATAGCGACAAGGTTCACGAAAAAGCTATTGACTTTACACATGAAATGCCCAGAAAAAATCTCGTCTGCTATTAAAGAACTAGTAACGAGGGACATGTTGCAGAGACAGTCGATGAGGCACACAATGCAAGTATTGGCAATGAAAATATTCTGTACTGACCTCAGCCTCGCATTCTGAATCAGCACAATTAGCATAAACAAATTGCCAAAAAATGAAGTCACTACGAAGAGAACTAGAAAGATAACTTTCGGAACCGTGGACCCACTTGGCTGTCCCCATGTTGAATTTAGTCCTGTAGCAGCAGATTCCATTTAGAAAAAATTCAAGGCACAAGTTAAAACTACTTTTTGTGTACGCTTACATTCGATCATTTTAAAACGGCGTTGTCGTCCTTTATAGTGTAACTTATTGTTATTTGGAAAATGACTAAATACAATCAAGCAGCTAAGAAGCTCAACGAAGAGCAATCCACACAGACCACCAGAGAACAGTGTTTATTCGTCAACGAATGAAACAACAGAAAGACTAAAAACAGCCACGCAAAAGATTAATTATTAAGAACAGCAGTCACATTCTGCTTGTGTTACCTCACTATTCCACTACCCCAAAGCATTAAACAGGTCTCTTCCTTGCCTGCTCGATGAAGGATTTTTCGATTTCGACTACAAACCTGTTTAAACATTTGATTTGACCACCCTGTTATAGAATAACAGAAATTTACGTACGTTAAAACCACTGCTTTCAACCTTTTGGGTGCTACCTATGTAAACAAACGGACATGAAAGTTCCTTCCAATCGAATAACACGTTGAGGGTCTGAAGTATGTTTACTACAGTTAATTGCAAACGTGCCAGTTCTTGCCTCACAGTTACAGAGTGGCACGCACTCCCTGGTCACATTACGCTTCATCTGTCAGCAAAACCTTCGACCGCCGACACGCTGCATGCTATGGGAGACTCGCCTTTGACCCAGTATTGGAATAGGAATTCGATTAGCTCCCTCATTATCGAACTGCTGAGTTCGAGGTTGATTTGAGCTGTTTGTCGTAGAAGTTCTTATGGTAGATGCCCTAATACACAGTAAGCACAAAGGGGAAAAAAAACTTAATTGCCTTTATTTATGGGGTAGCAAATGATAGTTACTTCCTGAACAATTTATTGTGCCACATTACAAATAACTGTGCTATATTGTTATACAGTTGAAATGTGTTTCTGTGTGGCAATAAATATAACAACCAACCATCATTTTCCTCAGCGAAATGCAGGTAACGCCAGGCTGGTATTTTTTATGGGTGCCAATTTGTAACTTCTTTGCATGTTAAACAAGATATATGGGATTTGTCTTGCTGGCTTGCCTCCATACTGCGGTTCTTGTCATTGTAGGGTGGTTAAACCTTCAGGTAGGAACCTGCAAAAAGTGGGACAGGGTGGAAGGAGTGACAGCATAGCATACTTTGCTTCACAGGCGATGACGTAAAGTAGAGTAGTAGAGTAGATTTTTACCCCACCAGGACATAACACAAGCGATGAACACCCGATGACACAGAGTGCCACCATGTGGATGAGGATCACCGTGGAGAGGTCCCAGAAACAGCGTTCAGCGATTAGACCATATTTATGGTCAGGCTATATTGCGGCCCCTGGTAAGAGCCAGAGTGGAGCTTCAAAATGGAGAAAAATTGCATCTCACATGGAGATGGCAGAATTACAATGACGTAAATAGGGGGTGAATGTAGTCACCGATGACAAAAAGTGCTAACTACAACATCAAATGTGATAATGTGACTAGATAAGTCAATGGATGAATATAGACTTCGTGCACGAATACGGTCGAACGCTTCGACCAACATCTTTATCAAGGGAATGCTAAACACAACACAGAATGACTAGAAAACTCAACGGGCTTTGCTCTAAACCAAGGTCAGCATAAAACCAAAAATATGTTATGGGTAATTTTTATTTCCCTTTGAGCTGTCTGGTCACATTTCATTTTGTATTTATTCACAGGTGAATGACCACTTTCCAAGCATTGAGATGTATCGAAAGTGCTGCTCGTAATCACCACAGTAAGCATGTTTGGTCAAAAGTTTCGGTACTTCAAAGATCACATCTGAGATCAGGCCTGTATTCATATCCTAATCATATCACGAGGACAAGCCATCTAAACACCCTTTCTCATAAATATTGTCACTAAGTTTTTAAGTATGTTTCTCCCCATAACAGTTGTATTAGAACTTCACGCAGTGAGCATTGACGATTTCCCATTACTGGCTTGCTTGTTGTACCCCACTAGGAAATAACACAAGCAATAAACACTCGGTGACACAAAGTGCCACCATCTGGATGAGGATCACCCGTGGAGAGGTCACAGAAACCCTTTACAGCCGTTATGGCTATAATTGTGGCCCAGCTATATTCAGGGACCCCGACAAAAGCCAGGGTGGGGCTTCAAATAACGAAAAATTGCATCCCACAGGGTGGACGGATAATCGCATTACTTAAATAATCCATTTGATCCTGTCACAGATTACAGTATAGATGTGGGTTGTACATGTAGGACTGTTGTCTCATAATATTCTGGTGTGCGCCGTAATGAGCAGACTGGTAGACTGAGTGCTACCGCTCTGTGGGCGGTTAGCTTCTAATGATACAATGGACACGGTGATGGCTCTGTGGGAGCATGAGAACAGTGCAACAAAGCAGACTGAGGATCTAAATCTGGAGAGAGGGATTCAGCTGGGAGCGAACAGCGCGGCCAGGACGATTGTTCCTTTACATGTATAGTCAACTGATCCTGTCACAGATTTCAGTAAAGATGTAGGTTGATTGTTGAAGATCGACGATTGGTGCATGTTTTTGGTGCAGGTTTATTTTCCCCCTCATAAACCTACTCTGGTCTTGCTGGTTATGCTCGCCATCGCCAAAGGTTGTTGATTCTCATTTCTAAGTTCACTGTTGTCTCCATGAATGAATAAATCAAAAGTTAACATCATTGCACTCCGAACATTCCTACACGTGCTCTGTCCTCTTCTTCAGTAACCAACGAAGAGCTGACCAGCTAATAGTACCTGTTGCCAACTGATTAAGTCCGCTTATTACCCCCCCCCCCCCCCCCGTTCATGACAATCTTCCTAAAAACCCTCTGTTGAATTTGCATTTAAAAGTAAAGATTCTCTGTTCTGTTGCACTGTCAATTTAATCCAAGTCTTCACCACGTCCGCTTTATCATAAAGTTGCTCACCACCCAGAGGGACAGCAGCAGCTAATCTATTAGCCTGCTCGTTAACATCCAGAGGAACGGCATCAGCTAATCTATCAGCCTGCTCGTTAACATACAAAAGAACGGCAGCAGCAAATCTATCAGTCTGGTCGTTTACACTCAGAGGAGCGGCAGCAGCTAATCTATCAGCCTGCTCGTCAACATCCAGAGGTGCGGCAGCAGCTAATCTATAAGCCTGCTCGTTAACACCCAGAGGAGCGGCAGCAGCTAATCTATCAGCCTGCTCGTCAACACCCAGAGGTGCGGCAGCAGCTAATCTATAAGCCTGCTCGTTAACACCCAGAGGAGCGGCAGCAGCTATTCTATAAGCCTGCTCGTTAACACACAGAAGAACGGCAGCAGCTAATCTATCATCCTGCTCGTTAACACACAGAAGAACGGCAGCAGCAAATCTATCAGCCTGCTCGTTAACACAGAAGAACGGCAGCAGCTAATCTATCAGCCTGCTTGTTAACACACAGAGGAACGGCAGCAGCTAATCTATCAGCCTGCTCGTTAACGTCCAGAGGAACGGCAGCAGCTAATCTATCAGCCTGCTCGTTAACACCAAGAGAAGCGGCAGCAGCTAATCTATCAGCCTGCTTGTTAACACACAGAAGAACGCCAGCAGCAAATCTATCAGTCTGCTCGTTAATACCCAAAGGAGCGACAGCAGCTAATCTATCAGCCTGCTCGTTAACACACAGAGAAGCGGCAGCAGCTAATCTATCAGCCTGCTCGTTAACACAGAAGAACGGCAGCAGCTAATCTATCAGCCTGCTTGTTAACACACAGAGGAACGGCAGCAGCTAATCTATCAGCCTGCTCGTTAACGTCCAGAGGAACGGCAGCAGCTAATCTATCAGCCTGCTCGTTAACACCAAGAGAAGCGGCAGCAGCTAATCTATCAGCCTGCTTGTTAACACACAGAAGAACGCCAGCAGCAAATCTATCAGTCTGCTCGTTAATACCCAAAGGAGCGACAGCAGCTAATCTATCAGCCTGCTCGTTAACACACAGAGAAGCGGCAGCAGCTAATCTATCAGCCTGCTCGTTAACACACAGAGAAGCGGCAGCAGCTAATCTATCAGCCTGCTCGTTAACACACAGAAGAACGGCAGCAGCTAATCTATCAGTCTGCTCGTTAACACACAGAGAAGCGGCAGCAGCTAATCTATCAGCCTGCTCGTTAACACACAGAGAAGCGGCAGCAGCTAATCTATCAGCCTGCTCGTTAACACACAGAAGAACGGCAGCAGCTAATCTATCAGTCTGCTCGTTAACACACAGAAGAACGGCAGCAGCTAATCTATCAGCCTGCTCGTTAACACACAGAGAAGCGGCAGCAGCTAATCTATCAGCCTGCTCGTTAACACCCAGAGAGACGCCAGCAGCTAATCTATCAGCCTGCTCGTTAACACCCAGAGAGACGCCAGCAGCTAATCTATAAGCCTGCCCGTTAATACCCAAAGGAGCGGCAGCAGCTAATCTATCAGCCTGCTCATTACTTCACACACCTAAATATCCAGGAAAGAAAATGTATATATTCCTCATCTGAGTATTATCAAGTGATGCAAGCCACTCTGCATGCAGGACACCAGTTTCAATTTGACAAAGCTTGCTCTGTGGGTCTTACGATTACAGCACGTCGGGCTGCGCTGTTTGCAAGCTATCAGAAAGCGGCCGTTTACTGCCTCCACTCTCACGCTGGATGAGGTGACGTTGAAATGCAAGGCTCTCTGGTTTCAAACAGGTCTATTCACATTTGCAATAAAACCCATCCACTCTATTTACCTCTCACTACAGACCCATGAATTTTCATTGATCAGCTCTTGCACCGCTGACACTGTTTTACCAGCTATCCATTCACAGCATCCGCTGTCCAAAGTAACTATGTTGTCTCTATAAGGTCACTAATAACACAATGATGGAAAGGTTTAGGAATACCAGCAGTCGAGAGAAAGTTGGAATATGATCGTGTTTGAATTATATTGACAAAGAATGAAATGGTTTGGCCATCAAATGAGAATGCAGCCACACTAAACAAAATGTG